ACCCATATGAATCGATGCAGCGAGAGCTGCTGAATCCGAATATCACATTTAGAAGTGAATTTAAGCAACTAACGAGGTTATTTCCGCGTTTTTCTCAGCATGTAAAAAAACACACTTTTTGGGTGGTCCTAGTATTTTGAACTTTTCACCCTGAAGATTTCATCTAAAGTCAAATCTGATGACTATGACCATGGGTCAGAATTGTCAGGGCTATCGAATGGTGTATGATTCGACCCCTTTTACGTCCACTGCATTTTTGCCCTTCCGGCACCTTATTTATGATAAACTTCGTTTTCTCCTGCAAGGCTCATTCCGCGAAAATTTGGATGTGAAAACAGTTCTGTTGCTCATTCGAACACAATTCTTTTCTCCCTCTCTTTAGATCTTACTTGCTGAAAAGTAGTAAATGGCATCTTTGTCATCGTCTGATGTTGCTAGAAAATCAAATAGTCCGTCGAAAAGATTGAAACCAGATGTAGTAGTTCCCAAACAAATATTTCTGGGTAAGAATGCTTCTTGTCTAGCGCGAATCGTGCAAACATCCTTAACAGACGTAATTTTTTCTTTCTGTGTATTTAGCTGTTAAAAAATTACGTTATTTTACCGAATCAAAAATCGATATACCATTAACAGACGTCTTACAATTTAATCAAGCACTGTCGATGGTCGAAGATCTTATCGATAACAATAAACTTTGTCGTTATTTTTCGTATATGACCGATTCAAATTTACGAGAAAATAATTTTTTTGATCCCCTTAAAGCAATAGAACATGTAGATCAGACTCGTCACTCCTTAATGAATTTATGTTTACATATGCCATTTACAACCGGCGACTTGCCAGATGACTATAGTCGTTTTAGAGGAATACAGGGTATGTCATCGAAGCATGATGTTATTGTTTTTAATTCTTATATGATTAACGGATTACGCAAAAATCAACAGTATTTCGATTCACAAATATGCACAGAAATATTTTTTATTTTCGTCAGATTATTACATGAACTCAGCCATGCTTGCATCTTCGACTCTGGTCGTCGTATGAACCAGTACAACTCCAGACGATTTCACACTCCAATGACTCATTGTCTGCATGGCGAAGCGGGTTGGGCAGTAGAGAGGATGCTATTTGGATCAAAAATCGATGCGCCTGATTACACTGTCGATCATAAATTTATTATTCAGTATCTGGCGTTTACGGATGGAACACCATCGGGTGTTATCGACCAAGATTGGATTGATTCATTTGTAAAAGACTCGTTGAATGAAAATAAATTGAAAATGGTTGAAAGTATTGAATGTGTGCCGTATCAATATCTCACAGAAACTCTGCAAGTAAAGCTAGAAGGTGGACGAAAAGTTCTGGCAAAAGCTAGTCGGCATTCAAAAATATTGTCCTTTGATGAATTTGATAATGAAACTACAAGTGATTCTTAAAGAATGAGCAATAGTGAGCTGTATGTAGTTTTTGGAGTCGTATAACTCTGTATTTATGTTATATATTTGTGCAACTGTGAAGTTTTAAGGTTTTTCTGAGAAAAAGTCAACTTCATTTTAAATTAAAAGTCTAGAGCCAGGTGTAATAATATTTCGTCGTTCATATCAACTTGTAGGTGTTTCTTTCTTGAGGTGTTGCCAACCTGGAACTAGTGGGCTTTTATAGCCCATGGTTGACTGAATGGATCGGCACTAGTTTGGCTCCGATGTATAGTAGACACTCCAGCAAAAAAAATTAAAATAAAATTTGCAGCGAAATAAAGCAGAATAATGGAAATTAAGCGCTGACGAGTTTCGAACCTCGGCACTCGCTTATCGTGGTGTAGTATTTAACCTATTTTGCTATCAGCGCATGTCAATACATAAGTATATTTCTCACTTATTCTGTTCTTTTCCTCACTAAAGTAGACATGCGAAGAAATTATATGTATACTTTTTAAAGCAGCATAACGTAATCTCTTTAAGATCAAACTGCGATCTGTTTTACTAGGCATTTGTCTTCTAGAACAGATCACAGGAAAATAATCAGGCAAACAACAGAAGATGCATTCTTGATGGTCTCATATTCTTTCTGGTTGCTTCTCCAATAGTCGACCAAATTTATTTAACTTTATTCAAAAGAAATGCGACTAAAATCTCAACTCAACTACTAAAAGTATAATCACTGTTGAAAGTTATTCACCAAAATGGTACACATAGTCAGCAGTATTTTTGACTTTACAGTGCTTACAAGGAGAAATACAACAAATGTCGTGGACATAACAGTAAGGTATCGTATCCATGATATTCTGACAAACAAAGTAATCTGAAATAAAATAAACTTCTCGCTATTCTCTTCTCTTAATAATTATTTTGCAATTAAAATAATTTAGAACTTGAAATTTTTTTGAGATTAATTTCTCTCCGTCTCTTTCAGCGTAATCAGCATTGTTTAGGCTCACTTTTCTTTTATAAAAATAGCAGTGTGTATGACAGAATGTATATATATAGATCAATTCTTTTTTAACACGATAGATATCGGAAGTATTTTCTTGTTCTTCCGTCTCTATATGTATATATATATATCGTATATGTACACGTGTTTCTGAACTCGCTGAGCCGCTGAACTCGCACTATAAGACCAAATGAATATCTGCGATATATATCAGGCAACAGCACACATAGTGCAATATTCTCTCCTACTTCATTCTCCTGTTTCCACCACTAATTCATGAAAAATTTTCTTGTTGGTTGTCTTGCTATCTGCTTAAGCGCTGTAAAAGAAAACTTGAATTCTCTGAAAAATGCGCCACGGATTTGACATTTTAGAGCTTCTCATTATTATTCGTATAACGTATTTTCTAGCAAAACACGCAATGTGCTTTTTATAGAGAATTGCAAGGCACATCTTTTGGAAAAGAGATTGGATCTTGGGAATGAAAGCAAAAAAAGTTATGAATAAAACACTGAGTAATATTTAATCTGAACCACTGGTTACAATGTGTCCAGGGGTAAAAAAATTGACAAGAAAACGCGTTTTTTTCGTTTTTAACGACCAAAAAAACGCGTCAAAGGTTTCAAAACCAATGGGTTCTTTTTGTCGTTTAAACGCGTTTTTCTTTTATCTATTTCTTTGAAAAGGCGTTTTTCGGAATTTCGCACGGCGTTAGAGAACGCGTTACTTTTGCGTTAAAAACGTACAAAAACGCGTTTTCAAAAAATCCGCAAAAAAAAACTCGAGTTTTCCTAGCCGATACCCGCATCTTGCTCCCCACTCTTCATACACTGTAAAGGAGAAAATTATTTATTTATTATTATTTATAATTATTTATAGAAAATGCTCGGCCAATTTCAAAGAATCCATATATGAATTCGTCGAGCATTTTCTAGTTCATAGAAAACCGAAAGTTCCAGTTTCTAGAAAATCAAGCTCGAATTTCCATAAATAATTTCCGAGAAAACTGGAAATTCGAGGAAGAATTTCTAGAAACTGGACATTCAACGTTGAATTTTCATAAATAACTCCCAAGAATCTTTGCAATTGTCGTGATATCAACAGAAAGAAACCGCCGCAGGCCAGACTCCATTCATTATTTGTATTTTGAACCTTCTTGTACATATATCCACATTGGTTTTCTTATTAGAGACAGTAATTAGTTTTTGAAAGAACATAAAAAAGGAGATAGTCCCTAAAGGGTGACATAATTCTTTGTTTTTCCAAAATCTGCCTTTTATTTTGAAAAATTTTCCCGAATAACACTTTTTCCCTGTCGGCGCAAACGGGTAGATTCTGCACCTCTGGCGACAACGCTTCTCTACAGAAGATCCATATGCTGAGATCTGAAGCGGTGGGGGTGATACACAATACAAAGTTACACGAAATTGTTGAACGCCTTGTTTTCGTGATACAATTTTGCTCTAGAAAACCAATCATATATTTTTGTGAAAAGTGTGTTTTTGAAGAAAATCGACTTTTCTGACAGAAGCCTCTTGATAAAGAATCAGCCAATAGTTCATTCTTCCTTGTTTACTTGAGATAGTTCTTTGTTCGATTGTTTACAACGGAACAGGAAATGTTAATCGACAGTGTTCAATTTTTTCAATTGTTCAAATATGATGGAAATACATTCAAACGATTTGTTGAAGCCTTCAACAAATCATTTGAATGTATTTCCATGAGTCACAACAGATGCTAAAAATATGCTACATAAGAGAAGAGACGGTTTAAACTTTTTTTTCCTATAGATACAGAAAGATAATTAATGTTATTGTACTAATTTCATCCAGTATAATAAAAGCTTAAAAAGGGTTATATTTGTTTGTCGTATAAAATACACTGTCTTTTACTGTTAATTTTAGACGACTACGAAATATACCCGTTTTTAAGCTTATATTCTACTACATGAAAAAGGACTGTGAGGAAAAAGGTTTTCCTCCTATTTTTACATTGCATAACGTCAATCGTAAATATAGTACTTATAGTATAGATATATGTAAGAATATCTTTGTTCTAGGAAATAAATTATAGATTACGGTCATCTCTTGCATCGGTATATTCTGCAATAATATAAAAGAAAGACGGATGAAACAATCTAATTCCCTGTTATACTAGTTGTGTATATTTGAATTATAAGTTACGTTTATTACGCAGCTCATCAGCTAAATACCAGAACGATCGTTTCGGAGCTTTAAATTTAATACGACGTTATTTGTTCTGGCGCTCCTGCAGTGAATGGAAATACACTGCCGCTGCTTGAGATTAGATGTTGATGACTGAACTGTAACCCGTTCTTTGATGTTGATTTAATCAGCTGAGACGTGCTTATAGAACTAATTAAAGGATAATGTAACGAGCGTGGATAAAAGTGAATGAAAAGGTAATAATAAAAGATAATAAAGCATTGTTTGTTTATGGATCGAATTAAGAAATACTGTAAAATATTACGAGCATAGATAAGAGAAGCTGATAGATAATTATAGAGAATCATTTTAAAATTGATTCGATCAGTTGTTTTGCAGTACATTTAAAGGAGAACGTTGTACCATATTTTTGGAAGAACTGTTTTAAGGTCTTGATGAATTTTTCCGATGTATAACCCTGTCTTATCAATTTCTTATACATAGCCATAATAGCAGCTCGGTAGGTTGAAAAATCCATAGATGTTCTTGACAGACGAAGCATCTGTCCAGTTAAAACGTCATAACCCATAGTTTGGGAAAAATTTCCCCCTAAATCCGGATAGTTAATTATGTCAAAACCAAACCTAGTGCGCTTAATCATACTGTCAGCGTTTCATCTGACTTTATTGTATACAGACAATGTTAATATTTCATGCATACCCATGTGCTGAAAATCGTTTCATTTTTGTCGATTAATCGCAATGGTTGAAAAAATCGACGCTCAATCGCCATTCGAGAAAAAATCGGCATTTAATAGCGATTAACTGATAATTTTTTCGTGCATCACGATTAATCGATGATTTTGTCAACCATCGCGATTAATCACGAAAATCGTCAATTAATTGCGATTAATTGTTGATTTAAAGTAATTAAATGGTTATTATTATTCACCGTTTTCTTTTGCAGTAAAGTATATATATAAGAAACACGATTTTAACGAAAAACACACTTATATTTAGATCATTTTTTTATTTTAGAGTAAAACGGAGTTGTCAAGAGTGTTCTGTATTGTCCCTCAGAGCTTTAAACCGAGAAGTCCAGTGAACAGCTGGTATGTGGGCAATGTCTAAAATTGACTCCTCGGCAAGGCTCCGACTCCAGCTGGTGCTAAGACCATTGCTGGGTGACGTACATGTCATTATACATAATAAACAATGAAAAAACAGAAAAAAATATGTATTGCCTAAGATGGGTTTGAACCTACTACATAGAAAAAAATCGTCAATTATTTGCGATTAATCGCTAAAATCGCCTAAAAATCACCAAAAGCTCGGCAATTAATCGCGATTAAGCGCACGATAAATCGTATGATTTTTCACGATTAATTGTCGATTTTTATGCGATTTTTAGTACATGGGTATTCCTTGGCAGTATATGATGGAAAATACATTCAAACGATTTGTTGAAATCGCAAACAGATTCTAAAAATATGCTACCTTTGAGTCTCACTTTAGTAGTCAATGTTTCGTGCTTATCTATCGATAAATCATTTATTTATACGGTACCTTTACATCAACTAGTAGTACATAATGTGTACCTTTCGCAAATATGCACCTTTCGTTATAGTGAAAACAGATATGTACTACATATGTTTTCAGTATAGCGAAAGGTGTAGATTGGTGTATTTATAGCAAAATATTACGTAGTGATGGATTAATTCCATAAATGCCGAGAAACTGGTTTTATTCTAAATTATGACGCTTCTTGGAATCTGATGAATACTCAATCTGTATGTCGGCACCACTTGTTGTGCAAGGAAGGAAGTTGAAAATATTTCTGAC